CTACAATGCGAGACCTAATTTGTCATCAAGCTTTCTAGCACAACGTGATAGAAATAAAGTTGCTAGATTATTTAAGCCAATAACGGACGTTTGGGGCGAGCTTATAACTGAATGGCAGTGTAGATGGGCATCTTCTATTAAGGGCCGCCACCTTAATCAGTTCTCCCCATCCGTGCATGAGCGGCTGGAGAGGACATGGTTGGAGGTGGATCACTGTGTTGCCCAATTTGTTACTGGCCACGGCAACTTTAAAAGCAAATTGTTCTCATTTAAACTTATTGATTCACAATGGTGCCAATGTTCGACAGCGGAGTTGCAATACGAGCAGTCGGCCCATCACATACTCTGGGAGTGTGATCTCTGGCAATATGAACGTAACACTATCCTTACTTCCTTATCTATCTTCTATCTATATATATATAATTCAAAGGTGATTGACTGACTGACTGACTGACATAGTGATCTATCAACGCACAGCCCAAACCGCTGGATAGATTGGGCTAAAATTTGGAATACAGATAGATGTTATGACGTAGGCATCCGCTAAGAAAGGATTTTGATAATTTCCACCCCCAAGGGGATAAAAAAGGGGATGAAAGTTTGTATGAAACTTTGTCAGTTTTAAACCGATCGGGTTTAAATTTGGCATGCAGATAGATGTTATGACGTAAGCATCCGCTGTGAAAGGATTTTGATAATTTCCACCCCCAAGGGGGTAAAATAGGGGATGAAAGTTTGTATGAGACTTTGTCAGTTTTAAACCGATCGGGTTGAAATTTGGCATGCAGATAGATGGTATGACGTAGGCATCCGTTGTGAAAGGATTTTGATAATTTCCACCCCCAAGGGGGTAAAATAGGGGATGAAAGTTTGTATGGGACTTTGTCAGTTTTAAACCGATCGGGTTAAAATTTGGCATGCAGATAGATGTTATGACGTAGTAATCCGCTGTGAAAGAATTTTGATAATTTCCACCCCCAAGGGGGTAAAATAGGGGATGAAAGTTTGTATGAGACTTTGTCAGTTTTAAATCGATCGGATTGAAATTTGACATGCAGATAGATGTTATCATATAAGCATCCGCTAAGAAAGGATTTTGATCATTTCCACCCCTAAGGGGGTAAAATAGGGGGTGAATGTTTATATGAAGCTTTGACAGTTTTACACCGATGCAGATGAAATTCGGCATGCAGGTAGATGTTATGACGTAGGCATCCCCAAGTAAGGATTTTGATTATTTCCACCTCCAATGGGGTAATGTAGGGGATGAACGTTTGTATGAAGCTTTGTCAGTTTTACACCGATCGGGTTGAAATTCGGCGTGCAGATGGATATTATGACGTAAACGTCCCTTTAGAAAGGTTTTTGAACATTCTCACCCCAAAGTATGATACTTTGCCAGTTTTAAATTGAGCGGGCTGAGAATTTGCATGCATAAATTTACTATGACATAGGTATCTCCTTAGAAAGGATTTTGATAAATTCCACCCCTAAGGGGATAAAATAGGGAATGAGAGTTTGTATAAATCTTCTTAGCCATTGAATTTAGAATCATTGAATCTTTTTGAATTACATTCGGTAAAACGATGATTTGGGGCCTGGGTAACGTTTGATAGTTTCTATCACAGATGTCCCACGGGAACGGGAACTATGCGTCAATGAACCGGGACTGTCTAACTCTTAACCACTGATCTTATTTTAGAGAGATTCGGTACAACAATAGTCGATAGAATAGTTTTTATTACTCAAACCTTACGTGATCGGGCACTGTACTGGTAAGATCCCTGCGGGATTATTTATTTATTGAAACTACGATAAATCATTTCAAAATAGGTAAATCTTACTTGGGCACTGAATTGATTCTGTCAGAAGTCATTAATCTACGCGGACGAAGTCGCGGGCAACAGCTAGTTTATATTATAAATCGGAAAGTGAGTTTGTTTGTTTGTTCCGCCTTCATGCCGTAACTACTAGACCGATTGCTTTGAAATTTTGCAGACGTAAAGTTAGAAGTTTGGATTAAATAATAGGGTAGTTTTTATCCCGGAAAAATTGATATTTGCTAGGAAAAACAAAAATATTGGTATAGATGGCACTGTATGTACTGGTATAGATGGCGTTGTATGTCATGTAAAACCAGTCAACGAATTACCTACTTATTGGAAAAATCTAAAATCTAAATAGCGCGATATAACCGAATTCCACGCGAGCGGAAAGCTATTTGTTTGTTTGCCTGTCTTAAACGGCAGAACGGAGGCACTAATTAACGCAATTTTTTAACTGAAGGTAGTTGATCGGATGGATAGTCACATAGGCTACTTTTTATCCTTTTGTGACGCGAGCGAAGCCGCGGGTAAAAGCTAGTGTTAAATAATTTAATTGTTTCGTCAGGTGTAGCTTATTATACGGACCTTGTGGAACCTAGAACGAATTTCCGTGCTTTTAGGCGTTTTTGCCATTATTGGTATATTGCAAGTGTAACAGCTCACCAGCTCACACTTAGTTTTTAGTCAAATTTCCGTGGTACTTGGCGTCTGGGCTTCACCCAGTTGTACAGTCTCTTCTTTGTGCCTTTAGGCTTAGTCTCTTATTCATTCTGTCTCCTGCAGTAATTCACCAAGGGAAGTGGAAACCATAGTTTTTTCTTCTTCTTCTCCTCTTATAATATCTTCTGATTCACTTCGTTGCGGGAACCAAGACGGTTACTCATGTCCCTGGGACGCGCCGGACTTCAGTGTTCCGGTGTTTTCATGGTTGTATCTACTGTAGATCCTGGCTTCCAGGAGTTGCAGCGGTTTTGGGAGGTTGTGGCGGGCTTGTCCCATTAAAAAAATATGCTTACTAATATTATAAATCTGAAAGTGAGTTTGTTTGTTCCGCTTTCACGCCTGTCTAAACGCACACCACCACGACAGCAGTCAAACATAAGTGTATCTATAGGTATCTATACCCTTTTCTAATACAGTCCACTTGTATGCATTTTTAGTGACAAATAAACCTTTAAAGCGTCCACACGTAGTTTTATGTGCAAACACCGTCCAAGCAAAATTCATCCTTATTGCCGTCATCACGCCGTAACTTCTAAACCGGTTGCTTTGAAAATTTGCAGACGTAAAGTTAGAAGTCCAGATTAAATAATAGGGTACTTTTTATCCCGGAAAAATGTGATATAAAACAAAAATATTAGTATAGATGGCACGGTGTGTATATTCGTATAGATGGCGTTGTATGCCATTTAAAACAATTCAACGAATTACCTACTAATTGGAAATTTCACGCATTAATCTATAGCGCTTATTTGGTGTTAATCTACACTTATTCGGTGCACTTTTCGACTCATTTATTTGCTGTTTTATGTCATTTTTAAAAACGTAGTAACGTAAATTTTGGTTCCTACCATTTTACTTTGAATTGTGTATTTTATAGATTTTAGGTTGTTAAAGATACACGAAATTGGTGTCTATGTAGTAGTTACGCTACTTGGCGATAGATGGCGCTGAGTGTTTACAAAACGGAGCAGAGTTGTGTTTTAAAGTATTTTTCGCTTTTAAATCTTGGTTCCAACCGTTTTACATTAAGTTGCGTATTTTATAGATTTTAGGTTGTTAAAGGTACACGAAATCATAGTGGCAACAATACTCAACAATTAGCAAATATATTCTACGCTGTTGTTTCAACGCTCGATAGATGGCGCTATGATTTCGTTACCGGCGAAAGTATAGGTTCCGAGCTTCCGAAACAATTATATTTCGGTGTACACATCTAGCACTATTATTGATTTATATTCGTCCGCTCTGTAGGTTTGACTAGTCAAGTGTTATTTTTTCTAGGTAGATATTATTATCTAAAGTAGTTATGTTTTTTTCGTCGTTTTATTCATTGATGATTGATTGATCGTTCATTGTTTTCCCACTCAGTTTTGGTTTAACATTGCATATGAAACCCTTATAAGAAATGGAAGTCTCTCATTCTCTCATACTCGTATTTATTAAATTTATTTATTAGCGCGCGGAGTTTCGCCCCGGCGACCTCGCTGCTGCCGCGCCAGATAAGTGCGTGGCGGGAACAGCTCCGGCGCGATCTCATGGCGGAATGGCAGCAACGACTGTCGCAACTGAGGGCTGGGCTCGCTGCCATTGCAGCGGTAAGTCCCCTCTTTGAGGAGTGGCTTGAGAGACGCTACGGCGTCCTCACCTACCGCCTGACGCAAGTCCTCACCGGGCATGGAAGTTTCGGGCGGTACTTGTGTCTGATGGGGCGGGAGGAAACGCCCGGGTGTCATCACTGCGAGGACCGCCCTGAGGACACGATGAAACTCACAGAAGGGGAATGCCCTGCGTGGGCTGAGTACAGCAGTGCCCTCAAGAACGTGATCGGCGATGGCGACCTCTCGCGTCCAGCCCTAGTGCGGGTCACGATGCGGAGTGAGGGAAATTGGAATGCCGTCTCCTCCTTTTGCGAAGCAGTCATGCTAGCTAAGGAGGAGGCAGGACGCGTGAGGCAGCGAAGCGCTGCCTCCTCGCAACCCAGCCATCGCGAAGGACACTCCGGGCGTCGGGGATCGCGGGACGATCTCTGGCCACGGGCGCGGGCCTGCCGACGGCGAGCATATGGGTGGCTCGCCTCTCGACCAGAACCAGACCCGAGCGTACGGCGTGTCGCGTTTCGCGCGCGCGTTAAAGAGCCATTAGACCACCACCAATGGGTCCAATAGGACTGATGCCGCATGCCGATGCATGCAGAAGTAGGAACGGGGTGGTATTTAGTCAGTAAGATTCTGACACTCCCGGAGGCGGGAGAAGTCATTCGATGACTTTCCCGCCTTATAAAAAAAGACTATAATCGTCTATTTCAAATTTCATCCCGCATCTCTTCAGCCTTTTTGACGTGATGGAGTAACAGACACAAAGCTTAGGGTCTCACTGCTTTCGGCACCATTAACCATCGACCCCATTGTCGTGCTGGTCCTGGATGCGGTGTAGTGAGTGCGCGCGTTGCAGGCGCCAGCGACGACGGCGCGGGCTGCGCCGTGCTGCTGGACGTGCTGCGCGCGCTGGCGGCGGCGCGGCGCCCGCTGCGCCACGACGCCGTGTTCCTGTTCAACGGCGCCGAGGAGAACATCCTGCAGGCCTCGCACGCCTTCATCACGCAGCACAAGTACGCTCGCCCGCGCCGCCGCGCCGCCGCTGGCCGGCGAGCGGACTCGGTAACAGTGCCCGCTCCGCAGGTGGGCGCGGGACGTGCGCGCCTTCATCAACATCGAGGCGTGCGGCGCCGGCGGCCGCGAGGTCCTGTTCCAGGCGGGCCCGCACGACCCCTGGATCGTTGAGGTACGTATGTATCCGTGTACCTACCTCCACCTAGAAGGTATGCTGTTATTTCGTCAGTTGGTCAGTCGTCAGTCAACTGATGTTAAAGTCTTTCTGTTAGAGACCATTCCCGAACCTTTGGCTGGCCCAATAGCTGGCTTGTGTGGTACCATATCGCGTTCTTTTAACCTTCTCTGAACAGTTTGAACGCTCACAGATACTCCGTGGAAGTCGCGAAGTTGGTTTTGTATCTCGATGGAGGTAAGGTGACGATTTTTCAAGCTGGTCGTCACGATGAATCGATCCTGCCTTTCAGTTGTGACCCGAGATCGTGGCCTTCCTTAGGGACGAATAAAGCCGCCAGTCCCTAGGTACGTCCGATAAACATTTCGGACCGCAGATCGACTTAAATTAAGTTGAGCACTCACGTTTCTTTTTCTGTGTCCGGCCTGAATAAGTGCCACAGCTTGGGCGGCGACTTCAGGTGAAGTAACCATTGATTATTGATAGAACCTCACCTTAATGTTAAGAATAAGTAATGTTTGTTGCAAAACCAAAGATATAAATCACTTTTTCATTCAAGAATTAAATCCAAGTAAATCAATAAAAACAAGTTTTCTTAGTATTCGATTGTTTGATATCAACAAACAGGCTTCAAATTGTCTTTTGTTCCTCCGGCCTCCGGTAACCTCACTTACACGAGGTGAAACAACGCAAGCGTTGTTTCATGTCGGTTTTTGTGAGGCCGTGGTATTATTTCGGACGATCCGGCCTATTCGTGCCGAAGCATGGCTTACACTATGTCCATGATCCTAGCCAGTCCTAGGGACCAATTCATATAAATATGATCATTTCTTGAATTTAATTCACCCTGTTGGAACCACACGTTGACCCAACTAATTAATTTGAAGTAACAAAAATGTCTTCATGTTAAATACTTACAATGGCAGCACATTCTGTAGAATTATCGGCTGCCTCACGCGACGCGTCTATGCATACAAGCCGTGGACATAGTTTTGGTTGTTTCTACCCAATATGCAATCATGCGTCTTGCAATTGTCAATTGACGAAAACGTGCATATGATGTGCAGTTACGTTGACATTGGGCCTAAATGGAAGTATTGGTTATTGATCTCTTACCTAGCTTCTGACGGACTGACTGACAGACTATTATTTATTTTGTACATATTTGTTGACGTTTCAAAAGTACCAAACTATAGTTTAATTGAAATAAATGCTTTGACTTTGACTTGGTTACCTTCACGCTCACACTCACGCTGCTGGACTTGAATGGCAGGTGTTACTTGCCAGGTCTAAATATTATATATAAATACCTAGTAATTTTCTATGTATATTAAATAAGTTGAAAGATTATTTAGACCACTTATAAACATACGAAAACATTGTAAGGAAGCCTGAATTTATTTATTTAACAACTTTGGAAGACTAACAGCTAACAAAACAAAAATTAAGAAATTGTGTGAGAGTCTGACAGCCAATGACAAGTCTTCATATATAAAAAACAAACTTATACTATAAAAGAATGTGGTCGACACAGTACTCCCTACAAAATTAATATAATAATAAAAACAAATAATAAATAATAATAACAAAATAAAAAGAAACAAAGTACTAAATTACTAATATATACTAATAAAAGAAAGGCTCAGGCACCTCCTGACCGTAGACACTTTAACATTAAAAAGGTCAAAATCATGCTGTTTGCACACGCTGTTAAATTCCTTAATTGCACGCACAAAATACGAGTATTGCCTATAATTGGTAGAGGAGGATGGAACACGTAGCGGTGGAAACCATCTCCTCGACCTTCCAGGAACATTGAGAAACAATCTCGCAGTGAGATTGTTTAAAAATTGTCAAATAATATTTTAATTAATAGGGTACAATCGCTTATTGCTCGGCGGTCCTTAAGCGGTAAGATGTGATATTTCTTACAGAGACTGTAGTAATCTTCAGACCGGTATGGGATACCCTGGTGATAGCACAGATACTTATTATGGACTTATTAAAATCGCCAATCCACCTTAAGCAAACTTGCTGATTTGGTCATGAATGATGAATGCAATAGGTATATTGTTATAATAACTGATGTGTATGTGTGTGTGTACAGATGTACGCGAGTGTAGTGCCGCACCCGTACGCGTCGTCGCTGGCGCAGGAACTGTTCGAGAGTGGACTCATTCCCGCCGACACTGACTTCCGTATTTTCCGCGATTTCGGCAACCTGTCAGGTGAGTACACGCGGCCGGCCATGTCTGACCGCGCGCGGCCGCCATGTCTGACCGCGCGCGCCCGGCCATGTCTGACCGCGCGCGGCCGGCCATGTCTGACCGCGCGCGGCCGGCCATGTCTGACCGCGCGCGGCCGGCCATGTCTGACCGCGCGCGCCCGGCCATGTCTGACCGCGCGCGGCCGGCCATGTCTGACCGCGCGCGCCCGGCCATGTCTGACCGCGCGCGCCCGGCCATGTCTGACCGCGCGCGGCCGGCGCTGACTGTCGCGCTGCCCGCAGGCGTGGACCTGGCGTGGAGCTCCAACGGGTACGTGTACCACACGCGGCTGGACACGGCGGCGGCGGTGCCGGCGGCGGCGCTGCAGCGCACGGGCGACAACGTGCTGGCGCTGGCGGCCGCGCTGCTGGCCAGCGCGCGCCTGGACGAGGCGGCGGACGGCGCGCGCCAGCCGGTGTACTTCGACGTGCTGGGGCTGCGCGTGCTGTCGCTGCGCGCGCCGGCCGCCGCCGCCAGCGCCGCCGCCGCGCTGGCGCTGGTGCTGCTCAAGGTGACCCTCTCACAATATACACGGTGACTTGGAACTCCTCTCAGGAGGTGACAATACAACTCATTTCTACAAAATTAGCCGTAAGAAAGCTCGGATCTTATACGATTTATTATAATTGAAACGGCTGAAGGAATAAGACGCTCATTCAGCTCAAGAGTGACCGTCACGAAGATAAGGAAACGTGTGTGGACAATTGGACATGTATTCATCAGTTTGACGCTGCGTACAGGTGCACGTGAACGCTCGCGCGGCGCGGGCGCAGCTGTACGTGGCGCGCGCCGCCTGGTGGCGCGCCGTGGGCCGCGCCGCGCTCTGCGGCGCCGCCGCCCTCGGCGCCGGCCTGCTGGCCGCGCTGCTGCCCGCTGCTGCTGACGGCGGCCGGCGCGCGCCTGGCCTACTACTCCTGCGGCCCTGGCTGCTGGCGCCGCTGTTCGCGCTGCCGGCGCTGGGCGCCACGCTGGGCGCGGCGCGGCGCCTGTGGGCGCGGCCGGCGCTGCTGCGCGGCTGGTGGAGCGCGCGCGCCTGGCACGACGCGGGCGCGCTGGGCGCGGCGCTGCTGCTGGTGCTGTGCGGGGCGGCGGGGCTGCGCTCGGGCTTCCTGGCGCTGCTGTGGGCGCTGCCGGCGGCGCTGGCCGACCTGCTGGCGGGGGCGCTGGGCGCGCGGGGCGGGGCGCGCGCGGCTCTGTGGGCGCTGGGCGCGGCGCTGCCGGCGGCGCAGACGACCTACCTGGCGCTGGGGTCGCTGCAGATGTTCGTGCCGCTGATGGGGCGCGCGGGGTCCAGCGCGGTGCCGGCGGACGCGGTGATGGCGCTGCTGGTGGCGGTGCTGGCGCAGGCGTGCTGCGGCTGGCTGCTGGCGCCGGCGCTGGCGGCGCGCGGCGGAGGGCGCGCGGCGCGGGCGCGGCGCTGGCGTGCGCGGCGACGGTGCTGGCGACGGCGCTGTCCCCGCTGGGCGCGCCGTACAGCGCGGCGCGGCCGCAGCGCCTGATGGTGTTCCACGTGCGGCGCACGCTGCACGCGCCGCTGGTGCCGCGCGGCGAGGTGCGGCACCAGTACTGGGTGCCCGAGCTGGACGCCAACACGGAGCGCACGCTGCAGCGACACGGTCGGTACTACCTACTTGTAAACTTGTGTACATTATCGATGCAACGTAGTTCCTCGAGACATTTTTACTTCTGTCAAACCGAGTATCGTAATGTTTTGCCAGTAATGAAACCATAGCACGATGTAACTCGATCCCAACACCATCTATCGATCTAGATGGTAGTTTTTGTACAAAAATTGTTTTTCGTATGTGGTATTTTCTTAATCCTCAATTTGTGGATTACACAAAAAGTTCCGTGCGGGTACAAGTGAGCAAACAAAAAGTTGAATCTTTCCCTTTTATAATATTAGTGTTCGATAGTCGATGTCGACAGAACAAATACAATACTTTATTAATTGTGCGCCATGGCTTCAAATCACGTGACCATATTTATCTTATATTTATTGGTAAACATCTGTAAGGAAGTTTGGGGCCCTTTGAAGCCTTTTTTAACAAAAATGCTTAGGCAGTTTTAATACAGCCCTTCGACTGTATATGTGTATGGCATTACGTGTCTGGGTGTATGAGAGCGGGCAGTGACGGACGTTCCTGGCGCAGTCCCGGCGCTGCGCGAGGCCGCGGCCGTGTCGCGCGCCGAGTGCTCGCGCCTGCTGTACTGCGGCGCGCCCTACTACCTGCCCGTGCGCTCGCTCGTGCCGCGCTCGCTGGCCGCGCCCGCGCCCGCCGCCCCGCTGCCGCGCCTGCATGCCGCGCTCGGCCTGCGCCGCCTCAACCAGACCGCGCTGGAGCTGCGCCTGCGCCTGCGCGCGCCCGCCCACGTCGTGCTGCAGCTGCAGCCCGCCGGCGGCGCGCGCCTCGCCTGGACCAGCGTGCTGGCCGCGCCGCGCCGCGCCATCGACGGCACCTACTTCCTGGCGCTGCACGCCGCGCGCGGCGCCGAGCGGGGCGCCGCCCTCTGGGACCTGCGTCTGTTGCTGCGCCACGCGGCCGGCGCCGCCCCCGGCGCGCGCTGGGGGCAGCTGGCGCTGGCCGGCCACGCGCAGGCCGGCCCGCTGGCGCGCGCGCCGCACCACGCCGCGCTGCTGGCCGCCGCGCCCGCCTGGCTGGCCGCCACGGGCTGGGGCGTGGACCTGCACCTGTACGAGCTCACTGAGCCCACCGAGTCCGCCGAGCCCGCCGAGCCCGCCGAGCTCACCGAGTACACCGAGCCCGCCGAGCTCACCGAGTACACCGAGCCCGCCGAGTACACCGAGCCCACCGAACAGGTACCGTTGGTTACTGCTCCCAGTTACTGCTATCAACGACGTGTCAATTAAAGCTCCAATATATTTCTGATATATTGGATTCCATATCTGAGACGCACATACTCCAGCTGGCTTCTGATGTAAGTGCAATAGAGTATTTTAAGAGATTTTGAATCGGTAAAATTTTATAAAGACGCATTTACAAATCTTAACAATTTAGAGGCTTTTTTGACGATCGTGTCGATCACGATAGTCACGTCAGATCGATAGTCACGAATAGTAGTGCAACTTGGGTAAGGGCTGACCCGCTAGAGTATAATCTAATAGAGTAATTTATTTCGTAAAAAAAATATTCAGATTAAACCCCCTTTGCATCAACAAAAAACACGCTTGTATATTGATACTGCGTCAAAATACGACATGACATAATAATATACAGCACACGTATGTCTATGTCCGATCTCCATCCATGTCGTGTCGAAATATTTGTAATACATTTGTTATTGTGTAGGTTCTATGAACATCGGTCGGCTCCGAGAAGATGGCGGCCGGCCAGTACTTACTACCTCTGTACGATGTACTTCCACCTCGACGGCCGCACTGCGTGTCGCTGCGATACTTGTTTATACATTGTTCTCTTTATTGTTTAGTAATTACTGTCTTAGTTTATTCATTGTTATACGAATGACGCGGCTGCCCGTGGCTCGGCTACTATTGTTTCAGTAACGGTGCGGAGTGGCCGGTCATGTGTAGTCTAGATAGAATTTGTTACATATCTGTTAACATTTCATATTCATATTAAGGTATGATCGTAATAAGACAAAATACAAGGACAAAGTGCTATTATTCTCAAGGCGCAAATAAAGTGAGACATCGGCCCACTACGGGAGACCGACACCTACACATAGTAAGCACAAGCAATAATTAATCAAACGGATTAATTATTGTGGTGCCTGTAAGTGACAGAACAAAACACCTGAACACAATGTACTATTGAGTATCTAGCTATAACTATCAACGAAATACTCACAAAGCATAAAAACATGCTCTATTTGATCCGGCGGCGCGCGGCGTCTAGCTGCCAGGCAAATGGCCTATAATTAATATTATAAGGTTTCTAACTTAATTTATAAACGTCAGACAGCTTAATTATTGTTTATACAAAGTGGAGCAAAAGTACTGCTACAATTTGAACACGACTCTATTTTGTAATATATTTTTTAAAACAAGCTTACACAACTTTCTTTGTGGTCAGGCAAATTAAACAGCTCGATCTTCATCTATATGTATATAAATAAATCCCTTTTTCCCTTGGTCACGGCATCACGTTTTTCTCACTATTAGGAGAAGGTAGGTAAGAAGGAACAAAACCTGAACATCCTACGGGAACGGGAGAAAACGGGATTGCACGTATGTACGAAGTCGCGGGCAGAAAGAAATAAAGAAGAAGCTAGTCTTTTATAAAACTTGGCCCCACACTAGAATTTTCGTTTGTGTATTAGGTACGTTTATAAACATATACATCACACCGGAACTATTTGTGGATCGCACGAAGCGATGTTCCGTTCGGGAATCGAACCTGCTACACTTCGCACATACATACATATATTGCAAATTACATAAATTTGCAATTACTAACTACATTTAAAAAAACTGACCTCAACTCTCTTTTTTTAAGTCGGTTAATTTATATCCTAAAACCTTACACTTTTGTGAAAACCTCATCAAAATCGGTTTCGGCCAATTGAGAGCTAATCGCGCACAAACATATACATAAATACGTACAGGACAAATGGGAGAACCTCCTTCTTTTGAAGTCAGTTACAGAGCAAAAAAACTATCATTACTCATAAATAATATGCACGAATTATATGTAAAATACGTTGTAAAGTGCGTGTTTTGTTGCGGTAAACACAAGCTTCATAAAAGCCTCATAAGCAGAAGACTAGTTCTGGAGATCACGACGACGAGGAAATAAATTTTTGATTTGTCAAATAAGTAGTAACAATAATCATACGTTATTGATGTATGTCGCTCCATCGTTTGTTGATAACTAATTCTCTATACAAGTACGACGTCATGAATGTGGACATTTTTGATCGACGTCAAAAATATTAAAATGAAAGCACGTTCACATTGTGACATTACTTTTGCCCCATCCGTTATAGTTTTTACAATTTTACGTTGAAATATCATATAATAGAATCTCATAATGTTAACGGACAGCGTCGACGAAGATGTTGACCAGGTGGTACAAGTGATAGATATAAGGACAGACCGTGCCTTGGTTGATCAATTAGTATAGTACATGTAAAATAGGGATGGCGCCATGATGAAATTTATAACAACCTGTGTATGTAGACTAAAGTGTAAGTTACTATACATTGGCTAGCATGCATGTCCTCATCTCTGTTATATATATACAAGTTGAACGTTTAATGGTTGTATTCCTACCCTGCTGCAAAATGGTAGTGCCTACTTTAAAACCAATCTACATTATTTATTTATTTACTGATAAAAGCACGTACAAGTGCAGTGCTGATTTGGCCGTACGGTCCTTTACGTTACTCAGCTACGCCATATATAAAATCTAGCTACTGCCGCATTCCCGCGGTTTTATAGCCTTCCTCGATAAAGGATTGTGGGAGAGCCATGCTTCAGCACGAATGGGCCGGCTCGACCGGTATAATACCACGGCCTCACAGAAAACCGACGTGAAGCAACGCTTGCGTTGTGTTTCGTCGTATGAGTGAGGGTACCGGAGGCCCAATTACCCTCCCCTTCCCCAATCTCCCCAATTCCTGAATCCCATACGATCCTCAAACTCCTAATACCCAAAAGGCCGGTAACGCACTTGTAACGCCTCTGGTGTTCCAGGTGTCAATGGGCGACGCCGATTGCTTACTATCAGGTGATCCGTCTGCTCGTTTACCAGCATATACCATAAAAAAAGAACTATCATACACACAAAGAATCATTCAATTTGAAGCAGTAGTTCCGGAGTTCCGCGCGTACCGCTGACTGGTGTCTCGCAGCCGGCCACTGAAACCCTCCGGCCAGAACTATTCCTGCCTAACGCGCCAACTCGACTCCAATCTCCACGACGTGTTACACGTCCCACGCCCAGTCACCGCGCCAACTGCGCAGTAAACCTTTAAAAAGCTAGATAAGTTTGTTTCACGGGTAACGAGCTTAAGTTGTAGGTATTCTTGATATCTGCCTTAAAGTTAGGAGTAGGTATTTTTTATAAGTATACAAACTTCGGTACAATAGAAGAGTATCCAAAAGTTATCACTTTAGAACGGTACAATAGGGTAGTATCCTAAATTTTATTTTAATATCCGTCTGGTACATTAATTTAAAACTTTAGACACGTATTTTAAAACATTTCTCACAAAATTAAATACTTTTCGAATACGTGTGACGTCACAGCGTGCAACATTTTGTAGCACGTTATGACGTAACGACCTCCCACTCCTAAACCTAACGCCATTTTATCTAAGTATTTTAACTGAATACGAGAAAATAAAAAAAATCCGTGTTAAATATTTTTTCATTATTTAACAGATGGACTAATTAGCTAGAAGGAAAATAAGGAAAAAATCGCCGCGGGTGATAAGACCGCCCATTGTACTTAAATTACTGTTGCAATGTTTACAATTTTTTTTCTGTGTGTGCAATAAAGTATAAATAAATAAATAGTTTGGTTACGATTGGGTACCGATACAATAAAAGTTTAATAATACCGTAGACAGTCGGGTAAAAATTATTATACCAGTAGTCTTACCTCATACTCTCGCCGCTTTCAAGACCGGTCCAAGCATAGTTTTACATTACAAAGATCACATTCCTAGTGTCAAATGTTATAGGTTTCGCCAATAAAGCTACTTAATTTGAAAAAGCAATGTTTTATTTTTCATAACATCATAATAGATATAAGCGTGATTTTTTTTTTAAGTCTGATGGCTCTTTGAGGCGCGCGCGTAACGCGACGCGCCGTACGCTCGGGTCTGTTTCTGATCGGACGGGGAGCCACCCATGCTCGCCGTCGGCAGGCCCGCGCTTACGGTGGCCAGAGATCGTCCCGCGATCCCCGACGCCCGGAGTGTCCTTCGCGATGGCTGGGTTGCGAGGAGGCAGCGCTTCGCTGCCTCACGCGTCCTGCCTCCTCCTTAGCTAGCATGACTGCTTCGCAAAAGGAGGAGACGGCATTCCAATTTCCCTCACTCCGCATCATGGCCTGCACTAGGCCCTGACGCGAGAGGTCGCCATCATATAAGCGTGATTAGAAACCAATCAGTCAGGTCACGGCAAGTGTGTATTAGACTTAGGTAAGTGTAACTCAACGGTGTGAGTAAAAACGCTTGTCACGCCGTTCGCCACTAAGACATCAAATTCGTGAACTAATCTAAATTCATGATATTGCCTTTTTTCTTTTTTTAAATAAAACTTCTGTGTAAACATAATAATTTATTATTATCTAACTGTTATTAAATACATATTATAGTCGGTATCGAGCGGCTATGTGACAGTTGCAACTGACGAGCTCGGCAGCGCCTTGTGCTTGAAGCTTAAAACAGACATTCTTCGAAATCTGCCTCGTCTCACTAGTTGTACAGGCGACGCGCGACGTTGTAACAACAGGGATAGTAACGTCTAGTTATCATCATAATTCATGTATTATAGTAGGCATCGACGCCGCTCGGCACTTACACTATGTAAGTAACGATAAACAAGTAATAAAAATCTAAAAAATAAAATATAAGTACAGGTCAGAACATAATTATATTATAAAGCTATATTTAAAATAGCATAGTTGAGTCTAATAAATGTATTTCTGTGATTAGTATAAAACACTGTAGAGCTTGATTTTTCGTTATTGTACTTTCTCGGATTGAAATAAACATATTAAATTAGCAGCTCGTTCTGCGACGACCGGGCAGACTCGAAGGAGCGACAGATGTAGAGGCCGGCCGGCGGAACGACGCCGTCGTCAACGGGGAGAGGGGGGGGAGGCACGGGATCTATTGCGAACGAAACATAACAACCATCACAAAGTCAACGGGCGCCTGCTGCCCGCGACCGCCGCGCCGCCTTACGACTTCTTCCTGCAACACACAAGCAAAGCGTCAGGCGGGGCGCGGCGCGCGGCGGGGGGCGGCGGCGGCACTCACTGCTCGTGGTTGTCCGTGTCCGAGTCGTCCAGCTCGGGCTTGGTGCGCCGCTTCTCGTACACCAGGATGATGGCGCACAGCACGAACACCTCGGCGCAGATGCCCAGGAAGGGCCACAGCGCCGCGTACATGTCCTTGACGCGCAGCGTGGTGGCGGCCAGCCCGTCGGCCGCCACGCACGAGTACACGCCGGCGTCCGCGCGCTGCGCCGCCTCCAGCACCAGCTCGGCGCCCGCCACGCCCTGCTCCGAGCGCGCCAGCACGGCGCGCGCGCCCAGCGCCAGCGTCACGTCGGTCGCGTTGCCCTCCTCCGACGAGTTGGCCACCGTCCACTTCACCTCGGGGTACGGCTTGCCCACCACCTGCGTGGAATATCACGTTTCCTCATTTAGGGTTCGCTACACTTTGCGGACCCCGAAATGAGCTATAAGCATGTTTCACGGCAGGACATCTTGTCACCGAATATATGTAGTAGAGTCGCCATGTACGGTGGCGTTATTCAAAAGATAAAGAAACGCCGTGACTGCTGTAGCGAGTGATTACTTATACATATGAGACTCACCCTGCAGACGAGCTTCAGTTTCTGTCCTTCGACGACGTTAGTATTGGCGGGCAGCTTGGCGTACGGGCGTCCGCGTAGTTCCCAGCCCTGCGCGGGCGCGGCGCCGCCGAGGGCGCAGGTGTAGTTGCCGAAGTCGTCCTCGGCGGAGCGTCCGCTGAGGCGGAACACGGCGCCGCCCTCCTCCAGCTTGTACCGCTCGTTCAGGTCCCACACTTCCGACACCACGGTGCCGTTCTTCCTCCTGCACATGTACACTCTCAAATTCTCAATATACGACTTCACTTGTTATATAGGTACTTAATATTAAATATTAAAAAAGATCGCTTGCCGAGTGGCTCTCGAGCCGCTCAAGACGGCAGGTAGTTAGAGGCCACGTCTTGCTACCGCACGCCAACACCAACAAACAACACACTATTTATGTGATAGCATTAGACAGAAGTTAATGATAATTCTTTTATGCTTAATTAAACCTTCTCCTTCTAGTTCTCCTACTCCAAAACCGCATCAAAACCGGTTCGGCCAATCGCGAGACAATCTCGCATTTTTTTATATTTGATGGGCCGACGCGCGACGTTTGACCACTATCTCGCCTGGTGGTAAGCGATGATGCGGTCTACGATGGAGCACGTCGTCGTCCCTCTGACTGCATTTAGGTGTTGCATTGTTCTCACACAATCGATCCAACAAAACTATGTAACTAGAGAATTGTATTGTAAACCCCTTTGAAAAAGAGTAACCTATGGAGTTTCTTGCTCGTTCTTCTCCATAGGAATCTACACCTATGAATGAGTAACTAGCTTCACTTCTAAAATTTTTTGTTGTTGAAGTTCAAGTGTCTTCCCCACTGAGTCTTCCCGGTCTAATTGAAATAAATGATTTTTACTTTTGACTATAAGCAACCTATTCACTCGGGCCTTGAAGAAAGGCATAAACAAACATGTCAAACTTTTCTTTTGGAAGTCTGATAAAAATACTAGGACAAAGCTAAATTAAAGTATGTTGAATGTTATCAGCTGTTGTCGAACTCGTACGAATAGTTTTTGATAAAATTAATTAAATTGGAATTTAAGTGAATAAACCTTCAAAGTTTGAAACATGGAAAAGAACATTCGGAGTGATTATTATATCACACCGCCTATGCGTCAAGTAGGTAAAGATAATGTATTATATAGAAATAATTATTTATTAAAATACTTCCAAAATTGATCTACGTTGGATTATCTGGGCAAATAAACAACCTCTTCTGTTTAATGCACACGTGAATGGAGTATAGTCAGTACGTATGCGTTATAGTATGTAGGAGTAGCCGGGTATATCAATGTATTACCAGACGAAGCCGCCGGCGTCCGCGGTGCGCGGGATGGTGCAGTTGAAGGAGAAGGCGCGGCCCACGTCGTAGTAGGTGAGCTCCAGCGCCACGTCGCCGACCGACGCCGCGCTGCCGGCGCCCGCAGCGCCCGCGGCGCCCGTCGCCGGCGCCTCGCCTGCAACACAGTCGCTGTCACTGCCGCTGCGCAGCAACGTACGAAGTAGCGAGTCTAGCTCGTACTGATACACTGATACCGAAGCTTCATCTACTCGATTAGTGAATCCTTGTCAGGTATCAAATCGTTTAGAGCGTTTAAGCGGAGCGAATTTTCATACCACTACCTTTTAGTTTAAATAGCCGGTTGAAAAAGTTTTCAAAATATCCTTTGAGCGAGCAACTTTTTGTTCTAACCGTGGAGGCGACGGAGGGCGTGCCGGTCTCTTACCGGCTAAACCACCACTGCCTGCGACCGTGACCCGTGTTGCCCTTACGGAATCACCACACTTCCTGTCTAACCAAGATCTTATTCGAAAACCTTTTCCACTAGTTATTAAGACTTGATGATATATTGGGAATGAGTACCAGATACCAATTTTATCGAAATCGTTTTAGTAGTTTTCATGAAAGACGAGTAAAATTTGTAGGATAACTGGCGGAATACATAATGAAATTTGCGCCACCATCTTGTCATGGATCGTCACCACTCAGCAGGCGGCGAGGGCCGGACTAACGTATCGGTTGTTATAGTGCAATGGATAGGCGACTACGGCGAGGCCGACATCCTCATACCAACACGGATGAGTTGGCTCCGGTGGTTGGCGAATGGTTCAAATTATGACATCATTGTTTTGTTCGACGTATTCGGGGTTTGTAAGGCACGACCAATTCCTCCTAATAATAAACATCTTTTACTTAATGGCCTTAAAATGGTGCGAAAGTGAAATTTTTGCGAATAACAACAGACATACATACAACATCCACTTATAGCTAGTTATTAGTTCTATGGAGATTAGTTTCATGGTCGTATCTACTGTAGATCCTGGCTTACAGGAGTTGCAGCGGTTTCGGGAGGTTGTGGCGGGCTTGTCCCAAAAAAAAATGACCAAATCGTTAATTGAACCCGAAGTCGGTCTCTGTAGTTACACGAAACACACCTTATACATTTACTTCAAACAACTAAAACTGAATGTTGTCACATTAATAATATTACCATCGAATACATTATAATATGTTAATAAAGAGTTGTTTTTGGTGGTTGGTTTATGGTCCTAAAATTAACCAATTTAATAGTTAATTTATCAAAAGTACGCGGTAAAAGATAATTGGAAATAGAAGTTTAAAGACAATATATTCTCAATACCAACTACCAATCTTTTTATCAACCAGTAGTCGATTTCATATTTTCAAAGTTATTCTTCATTTTGCTGGTAATTAAATCAAATGTACTTATCACTACAAAGATAACGTTACTACAACCTTATCTAGCTTGATGAAGTCTGTAGCATAGTGATGTGTATCAGCGATATACTGCAGTAACAACACCTACAGATACTGAAGCTTAACTACAGGCGAACTGAGCCAGCGATACGTCAACTAGATTTAGATAACGAAATACGTGAGCCAAGCGCAGAGTGAGTGCCGCGGCGCCACCCGCGTTCTCATTTTGAGAACTCGGTGACTCGGGAAAATAATAACTTGTTAACTACTTTACTAAAAATTTAATCATACCTGATAACGTACAAATAATAAATACTAAATAAACACTCGACAATAAGAACTAATACACGGTAATAGCTTCGAACAAATGAGACTATAACTATAAATCAAACTACAAACAGTAACTATTAGGAAGAGCAAAGCTAGTTAACATGACCGCGCCTCGCACGGTCCGACTGTGTACCGGCCGGGCTGGAGGACGCGGGCCGGACGGGCGCGGGCCGGCCGGGCGCGGGCCGGACGTGCACGCGCACGCGCGTGGCGGGCTGGCGCGCGCACGTGTACTCGCCGGCGTGCTGCGCGCGCGCCGCGCTCGCCGTGAGCCGCGCCGTGAGCTTGCCGGCCGCCGCCGCCTCGCCCGCCGGCCGCATGTCGCTGGGCACGGCGCCGCCGTCCTTTCTCCACTCGGCGCGCTCCTCCACGCGTAGGGCGCACTCCACCGTAAGTGGTGCGCCCTCCTCCACAGTCACGTCCGCGTCTGCGCATGCCTTGCATCACTATTCGTCCTACCCCTACACCTCACTCGTCTCGATCTCCTCCAGTTACAAAACACCCTTTTCGTATAGCAAAACATTTCAGTACCTTAAACTGTACTGTACCGTTGATTTACGAGGATACTCCAAGTCTCCGAGGAAATACACAAGTTACTTATTGGGTACTTTTCATACCTAGTTATAATAATTATAATTGACAAGTAGCGTCATACCAACGTGCAGAGCCGTCTTAGACTACGTTGGGACCCTTTGCCAGACAATAATTCGGGGCCCTTTTGGAACGAACTTTTTTTAATGTTGCCCCACACTAGGATTTTCTCCTGTACCGTGAGTGCATTTACAAACATACAATTTCATATACACAAGACACACGACCCGGAACAACTATCTGTGGATCACACCAAGAGTTGCTCCGTGCAATCATACCCGCTACAAGTTACAAGGCAGCCGGTTGCCACGCAACGTGTAGCGGATGTGTCCGTCTCCGTCGTTGAAATTGTCGGTGCTTTGGGGCCCCCTGAGGATGAGGGCCTTGGGCACGGGGCCCAAGTGCCCTTATGGTAAAGACGGTACTCCCAACGTATATGTAACCGCTCATATACGAATGAACGTATACATTCACGGCTAGGCGTGTGGCGGGCGAGATATCGGTGCGGTGGCCACATGTGCGGTGCGCGAGTTATGCGCGAGTTGTGCGCGAGCTGTTGTAGCCCTTGAAGGACCAAGATCTAGGGATAATAGACCTTAGGTTAATTACTTTTAATAGGCAGATGACTACTATATGAAATACTAAATATCTCATATTTAGATTATAACTTTCAAAAGACAGAAATTCCATATATTTATTTAAAATTCTCTATAAATTTCATTTAATCTGTCAAACACCAAGCGGTCACCGGTGACCGCGACCTATTGTTCTTTAATTGTGTCTATAAAACCGGTACTCGACGAGTTAAATACTACTTACAAAAGAAAAAATTATATTTAAAAATTTAAATAATTGGAGCCGACCATTAGCGGAGCTTGATCTAACCTACCTAGTAAATTAGTCATTATGTTTTTTGGCTTACTCATGTAATGATTTGATGAGGATTTCTATAGTATGCCCTTTGAGTACCGTCATTATAGACACAATTAAAGAACAATAAGTTGCGGTCACCGGTGTCCTCGCAGTGTTTGACAGTTTAAAACTAGTAGAGTTCCTCATCAAATAATTGCATGAGTAAGCAAAAAAACATACTAATCAGTAAAAAATATCATAGTGCTTTTCAGGGTATTAGTTGTGGTATCATATATTTAGTTAGCAGTTATTAATACAAATACTAGTCACAATGTTCATTGTTTTATGATTAAATAAAGAGTGACATTACAAGCGTGTTTACTCAGTTCTACTGATAAAGTTAAGATATGGAACAAACAACACTGAGCTCGAGATATTATCTGTTAATAGTAGTTTGTGTTCAGGAAGTTTATACCACATGTTCACACTCCCTGTAGCCATATCAATGGACTAATTCTCTCCATATTATTCTTTGTGTAAATGAATAAAACAAAGCACTTGTTTGTCACATTATTAACTCGTCGAGTACCGGTTTTATAGACACAATTAAAGAACAATAGGTCGCGGTCACCGGTGACCGCTTGGTGTTTGACAGATTAAATCTGACTAATTATCTACAAAGCAATCATTTGTGTCTGTCTGCTTGGATGTGATATTCATTCCATCTATCACATTTACTCTAGATTTTGGCCCTTCAGTGCTTGGGTTACCCAAGAAATAATTTCAGTCTTTGTGTTTATTATTCAAAATCATTTCCTTAATACACACATGCAAACATCATCAGTGTTCATACCAAAATAAGTTACCAATTACTACTACTATATTTCACAAATTGGACAGACATACTGCATTTAATAAAAATTTGTTTTGAATAAAATGCATCAGTTATGCATTCTATTTAGAAATTACAGTAAAATAATTATTAGGTATATGTATTATGTGCCTTCATTTGTATAGGACAAAAAGCTTTAATGCCTACAAGACAATAACCAAGTAATTGGATACAAACTAAAAAACAACAATTAACGATATTCACTGATTAAATTTGTCATATGGAGTAAGTGACAACATCCAATGAGAGAAGCTATTTTACCAAGAATTGCCTTGTATCGCTTCGCTTATTGTATGTAAGTACATGGCAACTAGTCCTTGATCTAATCAAAATACGAATACAGTAATAATAGATATGAATAGAGGAACTGGCCCTGCGTACCCGCAATACATCTACCTACTAAATATTTGATAATTTTCAATTAACCGTAATTAGGTCGAAACAAATTACTCATCGTGACATCATACGACAGCCGTCGCCCATCAGCTGCGACGGGATCGCGTATTTATCGACTGTCGCATGTCTGCGTCAAACTAAAGTACAATGCAAATACATGCGCGAACTAACGGAACGGACGAAGAAAAACGGAATTCTGTTAGATTAGATTATTCAATATTTCAACAGTACTAAGGAGTCGTACCAGACCGAACGACATACGATACATCTAGGGACTCTATCACTATCACACTCCACAGTAGGTAACTGTGGAGTGTCGAGGTCGATACTAAAACAATTAGAATTAAAATTACTTACTTTGTGCGTTTGAGGGAACTCCGAGAGCTATAAATAGCAATACCGGAGGTAATAACAGTTGCCGTAGCATGACGACAAGTTAAACTCGCACTGTTTTTAACAAAAAGATAATACTAAGAAAAACAGCTAAGGCACTGTCTATATTCGAAATTCCAATAGATCGATGCGACTCGTCCGCTAGCACAGTAGCAGAACAATGAATGATTTATTGATTTCCTATTGTGAGTGAAAAAGTAAAATGGCGCACTTTGGCGCAGACAGATATTGTTTTAAAAACTTTATGAGGTGGTTGGGCGCCGAGTCTTTATATCTTTATCTAAATTGTTTCTTTTTGTAATGTATTTTGTATTTTCGTGTATTTGTTGCGGTCGTATTTTATTGTTTGTACATAACACTACTTAGGCTAATACCTAACTATTCTCTAGAGCATTACGTGTTAGCCTTTAATTGATTGTTGCACTAGCAAATGCATATTGTATATAAACCGATTTGTTGTAATATGATGTGTAAACAGTCGTTGGTAAATAAAAACACCTAATTATAATATGAAAATGAATGAGGGCACCACAGTCGTTAACATAGCAACCCCTATAGCGCGACTAGAGTAATATTGATACTAGCACATTATTTTACACTAGAAACCAACATGAATTACCAATAACATTTTTACTGATAAATCTAAATTCAAACAAACAGACGATTATTAGATTTTTATTAAATTGCCGAAATGATCTGTATATAATATAGGACTAACCCGAGGTCTAGGTCTTTCAAATAAAAGACGTTCTAACATAATAATCTTATATTTATTTATTGTTGATAACACTAGCAAAATGATGTCAAAACCAAATCATTGATTTCAATTAGACTAATATAAGGCACTTTTCAACACCAAACAAAATAAAAAGGTGAAGTTATCTTGGAAGTTGATAACACCTTTTCCCACATTGTAAGTTTTTATAAGATCATTTGGTGAATTGCACAATATCGAAATATCCTGTTGTTTTTAGGACGGCCTGGTCGTTTATTCTCAGGTGTTTCCAATTTGCTATTATTTATAACATGGTGGTTAACAATACGCCTCAAATAGAACTGAAACAGAAAATAAATACCACTATTTAAAATTACAGACATCTTAATTTTCCCGGTTAGGTAATTTAAAATTAGTATTGAATTTTACTCAAAAGTATCAAGGCCTGTATCGCACTGTAAGTACCAACCAAATACCATCCAAACCTAACCTATATAAATGTGCAATGTAAACAATCCTTATATTTCAAGACTTAAAATCGTTAATTTTACAGGTTTTTCACTTCTGGCAGATAAAATATAAACAGGAATACGATTCCTACCTGTCATAGCTACTGTTCGAGCGAAAACATAATCTTAATTCGATAAAAATTTTCCAGCTTCTTGTACTTTTGAAAATCACTTTATACTCGAAATACAATTGGTCGAACTCCACGCCGAATTGTTCTTCTGCATATTTGATAAACTTTTTAAGTTTTATTCACTTATGTAAATTCCAATTTAATACACAAAGCGATTCGCAAAACACACATATCACAGCCTACAGCTGATGACATTCAACGTACTTACTGGTACTTACTTTCATTGAGTGTTGCCATAGTTTCAATCAATTGATAGTTCCTCAAGCATTCGCTTTCGTGATTAAATAATGCATAGATAGATTAGGTATTTTTAGTTTAATGATTGAAGAGCACAGCACAGGGCACCTGCCTGGCTAAGCCTGGTTAAAGCTAAAAAAATGTTTCAGTAAAATATTGTGATTCTCTTTCGCAGAGGACTTAACGGACTACCGGGCTCCGGTCAGAAGTGTGGGAGTAAGAACGGGGTGGTTATTTGTCAGTTAGATTCTAACACTCTCGCCTCACCCGGGCGGAAGAAGTCATTGGATGATTAACCCCGCTCAAAAAAAAAGAAGGGTCCGTGTAACAGCAAGTTGGATAATTTGTCCAGTCCAAGGACATTGAAAAAGGCGGACAGTCTCTTGAAATTAAAAAATAATACCACTTCTTACTCAATAAACCAAAGATATAAAGTCATAGTAATATAAGTAAGATATAAGTTCCGAAATACCGCCGTGCGATCACTCGACCAGACGGGTCATTGGCTCATACACAAATTCACTAATACACTGGCGCTGGTCACACCACACTGCTACACTAGCCGTCAGGCACAACTCTTAGTGGGGAAATAAAACAAGTTAATAACATTCAAATTTATTGATAAGTAGGAGACTAACACTGAGCTGTTGGACGGACGGAGCCGGGCCGCCCTTATTACTTTACTATGATACTTGAGATGTCTAAGTCTAAAAATAAATATTCGCAAAATTAACATCACCCCTCGACGTGCTTCATAACCAATATTTACATACATTACTTAGATAAATCTTTATAAATAATTATTTATATCATGCTATCTTCGACTAGTGCTATAGGTATACGCGACTAAATCTACGCACAAGGTATTTGATACTAGTGAAGTTTAAAGAAATGCAGCTTAATATCCGCTCTAGCAGTACGCGCGTGATGCGGTGCCGGCGCCTACGCCCAGATGCGTATGGTGGCGTCCCAGGAGGCGGTGGACAGCGCGGTGCCGTCGGGCGCCAGCTGGACGCGCGTGACGCGGTGCTCGTGCCCGCAGAGCACACAGACGCGCGCGCCGCGCAGGGCGTCCCAGGCGCAGGCCGTGTAGTCGCTGTAGCCCGCGAACACGAGGCGCCCGCTCACAGACCACTCCACCGAGTTCACGCCGAAGATGATGCTCTCCTTGCTGTACCGCGCCACCTGTACAACCACATTATTGCTACACTCGGCCGTATGACATTTCAGAACATTAGGGCTCACGCTGTCCGTGATTAGGAGTGGCGTCCCGTTGTGACTCGAGTAGAGAATGCGTCTAGCTGTTTTACCAGCTTCATATAAGTACCCGATACATTTCGTGGCAGATAACATATACAAATATACGTAATTAGTTAAGTTGCAGATTTTTGATAAAATATCTACAATTTCTCAGCTTTATAATAAGCTAGACCATGCAAGGGTATAGTCAAGATTCTCGGAAGAAACTTGAAACAATGACGCAGAAACGACCAACAAACTATCTAATTTACTCGACGATACACAATTAAACCTCATTCATGGCATGTGGTTTCAACACGATGGTTGCTCCGAACGCTTCAGAAGGAGTGTCAGAGAGTGGCTGAGCACTAAATATCCCAATAAGTATATCGCAAGATGTAGACCACCGTGGCCAGCCTGGAGTCCAGACTTGACCCCCACAGACTTATGTGTGTCACATGAAAAGTTTGGTGTATAACGAACCGAACCCAACTAATTGATTGATGTTTTAAAACAAAAAAGAAATATTGATGCTGCTAGTGAAATAAGAAGAGGACCAGCTGTTGTAAAAAGTGGCTTAAGACACAGCATGCGTGTATGTGTGCAAAACAGGAAAATGTTTGAAATGGAAGAATTTGGAAAATTTTATAGTATAAAAAAACGTATAGTCACTGTGGCTGGGTACTGCCACCCTTGTGGAAGCCGAGCAAGGAGTCTACTTCGCCGCTGTAATTCCTGTAAGCCAGGATCTACAGTAGATACAACCATGAAAACGCCGGAACACTGAAGTCCGGGCGTCCCAGGGACATGAATAACTCTCTTGATTCCCGCAACGAAGTGAATCCGAAGAATATCTTCGGATCTCAAGAGAAGAAACGAAGAGAAAAAACGATACTTTCCACTTCCTTCGGTGAATTACTGCAGGAGACAGAGTGAATTAAGCCTAAAGACACAAAAAAAGAGACTGTACAACTGGGTGAAGGCCAGTCGCCAAACACCACGGAAATTTGACTAAATTCTAAGTGGATCCTATGTGTGAGCTGTTACACTTACTTCCAATAATGGCAAAAGCGCCTAAACGCACGAAAATTTGTTCTAGATTCCACAAGGTCCGTATAATAATCTACACCTGACGAAACAATTAAATTATTTAACATAGTCATAGCCAGAAATCACACTCCCAGAGTAGCATGTAATAGGCGGACTGCTCGTATTGCAGCTCCGCTGTCGAACATTGGCACCATGGTGAATCAACAAGTTTAAATAAGAACAATTTATTTATAAAGTTGCCGTGGCCAGTAAGAAATTCGGCAACATATTTTTTTTTTAAAGGGGGTAAATCATCGAATGACTGCTCCCACCTGGGTGAGGCGGGAGGGAGTGGCAGACTCTTACTGACTAAAAACCACCCCGTTCCTTCTCCTGCACGTCGAGCCGGAGCCCCGGTTACCCGTTAGGTTCTCCGCGACAGTAATCCGTCAATACGGTTTTCGCCACAGTCGCTCGATTGGTGATCTTCTAGTGTATCTTACACATCGTTGGTCCGCGGCCATTGAGAGTCAAGGTGAGGCATAGTTAGCCTAGATATAGCGAAGGCATTCGATAGGGTCTGGCACCGTAGTCTTCTGACGAAGTTGCCATCATACGGACTGCCAGAGGGATTGTGCAAATGGGTTGCTAGCTTTTTGTCCGGCTGACGCATAAGAGCCGTCGTAGACGGTAGTTGCTCTGAAAGCATGGACATAAACGCTGGCGCTCGCAAGGCTCCGTACTTTCTCCGACGCTGTTTCTTCGGCATATCAATGATTTGCTGTCTGTTGAGGGTATTCATTATATGCTGATGATAGCACCGGGGACGCATCTTACATGGGCCGTGCAAACATCCCTTGTTCCGTTGTGGAAGAAAGCCGCGTAAAACTTGTGTCTCAAATCGAGAGTACCTTATGCCGAGTCTCCGATTGGGGTCGGGACCATATGGTCCGGTTCAACCCCTCCAACACACAAGTTTGTGCGTTTGTGCGTTACCGGTAAAAAAACCCCATTCGTTGTGGCCCCTAAATTCCAAGACACTACCCTTAACATCTCCAAAAGTATAGGTATCCTTGGTGTCGACATATTTAGTGACGTCCAGTTCCGTAGTCACTTAGAAGACAAGGCCAAGCTGGCATCTAAAAAACTCGGTGTGCTAAACAGAGCGAAGCGGTACTTCACGCCGGGACAAAGACTGCTTTTATAAAAATCGCAAGTTCGGCCCCATATGGAGTACTGCTCTCATCATTGGGCAGGAGCGTCAGCATACCAGCTTGGACCTTTTGACGTGGTCCAAAGGAGAGCTGTAAGACTTGTTGACGATCCTATACTTACGAGCGGTATCAAGCACTTAAGTCTAAGGAGAGATTTTGCCTCCTTGTGCGTGTTCTACCGCTTGTATAATGGGTTGTGTTCTGTGGAATTGTTTGATATGATGCCCTCGGCCACTTTCTATCATCGCACCGCTCGCCATCGACAGGGAGTTCACGCTCACACATTGAAGCCCAAATAGTCCCGTACAGTTCGGTTTCAGAGGAATTTTCGGACCCTCCGATTGTGGAATGAACTCCCTACTGTGGTTTTCCCAGTGGGCACAACATGGGGTTCTTCAAGAGGGGAGTAGATAGGTTTCTTATGGGTCGGCAAGACGCATGTAATGCCCCAAATGTTGCAGGCGTACATAGGCCACGGTAACCGCTTACCATCAGGTGGGCCGTGTACTTTTTTGCCACCGTCGTAGTATAAAAAAAAACATCGCCAACCATGTCCTCTCCACCCGCTCATGCACGAATGGCAAGAACTGATATAGGTGGCGGCCCTTAATAGAAGATTCCCATCTACACTGCCATTCAGTCATAAGGTCGCCCTAAAAGTCCGTTAATGGCTTAAAAAATCTAGCAATTTTATTTCGACCATGTTGTGCTAGAAAGCTTGCTGACAAATTAGGTCTCGCATTGTAGTACATACATAGCAGCACGTCGCTGCACCTCAAGATCGACAGTAAGCGTTTTATGTAACACTGCCTTTGTACATCGTGCGCTTCAACATCGTCCGGCGCCGCCGCCGCAGTTGGAAGCAACCGCTCGTGGTGTCCGGCAGAGGGCGCGGTGGGGTACATGAGTAGCAACACTGATGCGAGCGCCAACGCTAGCCAGTACGCGACACCGCCGCGACCGCGCACGCTGCTCATGAGTAAGAACCCCTCTGTGGTTCGAAACTAGTAGAGCTAAGAGTAACCCGCGATTTTTAGTTAATTTAGTATGTCTCACGATAGTTTTTATAGAAGTAATTAAAAGGTCACACAAACTGGCCCTTTTTATTACTTGCTGACGGGTTCATCGAAAACAATGATTGAATCTGGGATATATTATGTATACTCTAGCTTGCCACATATACATTATTTTAATCGATTATGGGTTCTAGCTACATACATTTCTGGGCATGTATAAGGCACTGCCTTATACATAAACAAAATAAATAATTAAATAAATCAAATATAAAATTCTGTACGAACATCTCGATGTAGGGACCATGACGAGAAGAGCCGCAATGTAGTAAGTTGTCTAGCAATGTACGGGCATTCGGCGCGGTTGTTGCATTGCCGTGTACACGGTGTAAAAATTAGCAATAAATTAGAGAAAAATGCGCTTTTTGGCTTTTGATTAACCTGATTGATTGATGGTAACAAAAATGTGGTTCAAATTAACACATTTTTCTTTGACCCCGAGATGGGAGATCCTTGTGTGTTTGCTCCTTACGGTATGAAGGCGCTTATTCTACTAAAACTGGTAGGGTACTTGATATTGGTAGAGTAGTATGCCATTTGAATGTACTGTTTGCTCTACCCGTGTACACCAGGCGTTAAAGGTCGGAAGGGAGAAAGCAGAATCGTTCGGAGTGAGTCACCTCGCGGTCGGCGCGCAGGTCGAACAGGCGGCAGCAGGAGTCGTCGGAGCCGGTGACGAGCGAGTCCCCCGAGGGATGGTACTTGACGCTGTTGACGTCGGAGTCGTGCGTGTCGAAAGCCTGCACGGCCTGGCCCGTGCGCATGTCCCAGACCAGCACGGCGCGGTCGCAGCCGCCCGACACGAACGTGTCGCCCATGTCGGACGGCGCCAGGTCCAGCGCCATCACGTCGGCGGCGTGCGCCTGGAAGCTCTGCAGCAGTTGGCCCGACTCGACGTCCCACAGCGCGCAGGTGCCGTCGCCGCTGCCCGTGAGGATCTGGCGGTCCGTGTTGGGGAACAGACAGCACGACATGTAGGACGTGTGCGTGGCCACGGTGCGCTTGCGCGCGGCCGGCTCGTCGTCGCCGCCGGCCAGCGGGAACACCGTCACCTTGTTGTCCAGCCCGCCGGCCGCCACCAGGCTGCCGGACGGCGCGTAGGCGCACGCCATGACCCACGTGCTCGGCATGGCGATGGTCAGCTCCTTGGTGGCCGTGAACGCGTCCCATACCATCACCTTGCCATCCTGCGCACACAAACACATCTGTACTATAGGTACTCAATCTAGTGGAATTTCCACATAGAGTAACGGGACCAATGATCGACATTTTTAGAACTTTATGGAGAGCTAAGAAGCTAGTAATGGCTAGCTTCTGCCCGCGACTTCGTACGCGCAATTATGTTTCCTCCCATTCCCATAAGATTTTCAGGAAATTATTTTCTACTAGATGACCCGTAGGTACTTTGTTCCGCCTTCATGGCAATAAATAAGCAGATTGTTTTTTTTATTGGAAAAAATACAAAAAAATTAAATACCTACATTAATCATTCATTATTATTTATGTATTTTAGTATATAGGTTGCTTTTCATTTAAGTACCTTGTGATATACGACATTTTTTGTTTTATTATAAGGCGCAAAAACAAACAATGCAGATGGTCTTCCGACCCGTGAACATGCCACGCATAATTGACCATGGGAAAAACATGAATGTTCTAGATTTAAAACACAAACTATTAAGGATTGGCCTTGTGGTTTGTTGATGGTCATGGAAAATGTATTGGAAATTGAAGTCCTTTAAATTCAAACGGCATATCGGTTGGGATCATCGGGATCCTCGGAATGAGAACTTCCTCACCTTGAATTTTCCTATCATTATCGTAGCGTAAATAACATTGTTCATCAATTTTGTAACCACCAAACGCGTACCGTTGCACAGTTTTGGTTAGTTTGTTTCGAAGCATGATTCTGCATGATTATTACGGAGCCAGCCTTTAGGTGTAAATTGTGCGGTGGTAAGCCAGGCACGTCCAAAGAGTTTAAAAATGCAATTGGATAATTGGTGGCTTCATCTTCATTTGTGACGCAGTCAATAGATTTGAATGAATGCATTGTTCCAATTATCTTATTTTGAATTATGTAGTTCAGGAAAATATGTCAGGTAACATAGAAAGGTATACTTAATTTAGAAATTGACTTGATTTTTTTACTGAGTTGAGATAGTAGAAAGGATTGAAAGTAGCATAGGCGAGTAGAAATTTTGTTTCTATCTAACCCACCACTTCCCTAAATCAGGGGATGAAAGTTCGTATGGAGCATTTCGTAATTTTCAAGAAACCTAAAATTAGTATCATGTTTGTGACCAGCAAAACATAGGGCACCAATTCTTTTTTATGTTTTGTAAACCTGCCCTCAATACTTTAAAATAACGCGAGCGAAACCGGGGGCAGAAGCTAGTCCATGATTAAAATGTATTCAGTTAATTGAAGTCGTATTTTTTCTTTGAAATCTCTGATAATGTTGCAGCTAAGTACTATTATTAGTCTTTGAAAACAGTTTTCTATTGGCAGTCAAGGGCTTAAGCAATATAAGGAGTTTTTTGGTAGTATTTTCACACATCGGGTTACATTATCTAAATTTTCAAACACTGTCGAACGGGATAAAAAGTATCTTATGTCCGTCTCCTGGCTCTAAGCTACCTTTCTACCAATTTTTAGACAAATCTCTTTTGCTGTTCTTGAGTTATAAGTGGAGTAACTAACACGACTTTCTTTTATATATACAGATTATCGTGTTTACACATTGATATCTGATTTCTTAAAAAAAGGAAATTTATAGTCTTATCCAAACATTTCTTTTTACTTAACTTGAAATAATATAATGCAATTGCAAAGGTTTACCTGGGATGAGGACACAATGTGTCGTTTATCAGGAGACCAGTCGGAGCAGAGCACCTTGGACTGGTGGCCCTTGAGCATGCGTCGCAGTTTTAAGTTGGGGAAAGCAATGGTTTCCAGTCGTTCCGCTACACATGACACTGCAACACACAAAAAAATTAACCACCTTCAAAACAAGCATATGCAGTTAGAAAGGGACGGACATATATGCAGTGCTAGTCACATTTTTAAACTATTTGACTCTTGATCCAAGATTTGGTTGCCATTCAAGAAAAGTTATCTTGATACTGTTAATCCTGATACCTTCAGACCTAAAACCTAAGTATATACATCACTCCTACACAGAGATATCCACAGCTTAAGTTTGGGGTTAGGTTGGGTAGACATATTCCATCAATTTTGACTCTATTTCCACCCATTTATGAAGACAGGATGGCGAGGATGGAACGGTACCTACCAGTCAAGATGGTTAGTGAAGCCCAGCTTAGCAGCGCTCCTACTTCCCAGAAATTTAACAAAACCACAGAGCCAAAAATGGGAGTCCTGCTCCGCTTCGGTCCCATCTTAACCTTCTGAACTATAGGACACCCCGACTGGGACAGGTTATGGTCGCGTCGGAGTGCTCTGAAGTTCACTTCTCTAACACTTACTACTACTATGTAGCGTATTTTGTATATCACATGTTATTTTTAAAGTAAATATAATGCAAACTTCAAAAAATCATATCTTGTGGACTGCTAGTCTCTGCAACTTCTAAATTTGTAGAAAGTCTTTATTTAATTCCTTTTAATTAATTACTTTTATGAAAAAGTATGCATAAAAACTATAAAAAAAATGAATTTGGCCTCACTGGCCCATTATGAAAGGCTATCCTACTTTTTTATTAATAAATGTTTTATATTTTAGAATTGAACTATATTTAAATATTATAATGCATTTAACATTTATATGGTGTCCACTTATAAGTAATTGCTACACTTGTACTTAAGGAATACAATGTATGTTAGTTATCAGATTTATCTAAGTGTAACAGATGTTGGTGGACCAAGTCTATGTAAATAAATAAAAGTGAATTTCGGTTCATTGGTCTCACTAAAACTCAAGAAGGGTTGAACCGTTTTGGTTAATTTTACCTTAAAATATTTGTGGAAGTTCAGGGAAGGTTTAAAAAAGTGAGAAAAATAATTTTGTGCACAATGAAGTTTGCCGGGTCAGCTAGTAAATAAATACATTGGAATTGGAAAACACTGACATTATTAACTCGTCGAGTACCGGTTTTATAGACACAATTAAAGAACAATAGGTCGCGGTCACCGGTGACCGCTCGGTGTTTGACAGATTAATGGAAGTTTGTGAGAATGTACATGTATATTTATTACTCTTCCACAGAATAACTATTGAATTGATAACACTTATGTTACTTTTATCCTGAAAACATAGACAAAGCTGCAAGGGGAGGCTTATAGAGATCATTATTTAAAATAAGTTACAAACAACACACTGCCATGCTGTTCCAAACAACATCCACAAAACAACAGAACAGAATGGTTTCCCACTGGCTCTGAGGGGCAAGAGATGTTTAACTCGCAGGAACAAGCACAAGTGGGCAGCTCAGCTGAATAGGCGTGACGGTCAGTGGCTGACACCAGTCTACATGTGACACTCACGAGATACATCATTGAGTTTTTGACGCTCTTCTTCTAATTTCTGCTTTAGTGCTTCGGCTTCACGCAGCAGCGACTCGAGTGTCTCCTCGGGGCTAGCCGCCACTGCTGTGTCGGCCGCCATCGCGCCGCTCTGCAGCCTCAAGCCTGCACTGCAACGTTTCTAGTGCCACATTTTGTTACAGGGAACACCTCGCGCACGCCCTTCGGCCACCCGTACCACGGGTCACTCCCCACACTGCTCCACCTCCACCAACTCTATTAAAGTTCACAATTTTAGATGATATGACATCACTATTAGTCAAACACTACTAAATAAATTAAATTATGCTTTATTATTATGTTCAGATTAAAGTTATGCTTTTATCCACTGAATCAATACCAACTTCGACTGAAGTCGTCGCATCTTTCAAACAGACAGAAATTATTACAGAAACAGTTGTCAATGTCAAAATATATGCTAATGCCAACGAAAACCAAAAATTGAGGTTTTGTCTATGATGAGCAATAAGCAAAATGATGGCTTTGGTATAACTACATGCTCTGTGGGCTTTGGTAGAGATATACTGCTTGGCAAAAATAATTCATACCACAGACTTAAAATAGATAAGCAGACCCAACATTACCTAACGTGAAGCCTGAAACAACATGCGCATTACATATAATCACTTTATTGCGAAAATATATTACATTGTTTATAACTACATAAATATTTACAACTTAAAATAATCTACAACTAAACTATTAAATAAAATGAAAGTAAAAAAAAAGGAAACAACAAAAATTACGCATTACTGAATATGAAAACAATAATTTTATCACGCGGGACGCGAAATACTGGCTACATGTCGATATTTGTCTATGTGTGGAGTAGTGTGGCTACAGGTAAAAGAACGAGACGCCATTATTAGGTTGGTGCTTAACAGAGCAAGCACAAAGAATGATGGATATCATTTACGTATAAATAGGAATTAATTTTTGGTGTGCTTATTGTAAGTCTGTGATTTAAAGTACATTAAATGTCATCAGCTGTGCTGTGTATGCTCGACTTTGTTTTGCAAATAGTTTTTTTGTTAAAATGTATTAAATTGGAATCCATGTGAATAACACTTACGAGTTTTTTAATTATGCGAAAAACAATTCGACATATCTTAATTATATTTCGAGTATGATTTTAAGTAGAACAAAAAGCTGAAATAAATTTTATTGAATTAATATGATGTTTTCGCTTGAACAGTAGCTATGACAGGTAGGAATTGTATTACTGTTAATGCTTTCTTTGCTAAAAGTGTAAAACTAACAAAATAAAACGTGTTTATGCATATAATTATAGGTTAGTTTTGGATTTAATTTGGTTGGTACTTAGGGCCTGTGGCTCCCTTATTGATTTTCGTTGACTAATAGACAATTTGAACATAAGATTTTGTTCATAGATAATTATTTCCATCTATAGATAATGATTAATTACAATTAAAGTATATGTAAAGTATTGAGTAAAATAAAGAAGACAACAAAAATTATACCCTTAATTTAATAAATGATATCATCCACTTTAATATTGTCGATGGAAATTCGACCAAAGAGTAAAGAGTACAAAGTCCCAGAAAGGAGGGCTATCAATGTCAAATACAGAGTCAAGAACTGAAAATTTTAAAAATTCAAAGACACTGTCAGTTACGTATTGTGATTGTGATTTCAAATCATATATTGATTATTTAATGTAGATTATTGTTTGTCTACTGGTTGTTGCATTGTTATATTCAGTGTAGTGTTACATTTTTATTTTCAAGTTTGATTGGTCTTTGTTCAATAATTTAAAGACCACATCAAAACAGAGTGAATTACAGTTTAAATTTATTGAAGTGTAATGTTCTCACTAGACATGCATGAAATGTTTGATCTGATCGATTTGATATTATAATAATTAAATTGATATATTTATCGTGAATTATAAAGGTCATTAATAAATTCAATTTATTGCCATGAATCCTCCATTACACGTTGAAGTTGTACAAAAATCTCAAAGCCGAGCCAGTAAGGATTATGTTAAGGAACTTGTTCGTAGTTTCTTAATGAATTTTATATCCTTGACACCTGGCGTTATATTATCTGGATCAGATTTAGAAGACAATGCCGAGCTGAAAGAGCATGTTGATATGATAACGTTTTGTGATATAGAACACGATAATGAAGTTCTAGTGACTGAAACTGAACTAAAGTATCATATCTTTAAACTGGATGCGTTTGGTGCTGAAACTGACACAATGACCGATGCCAGTACAGGGGAAGAGTTTGCTGCAGCTGATGTTTGGTCATTGCCCAGTCAAGAGTTCCACGGACTGTGGGATAGTCTCATTTATGATACCAAATTAAAAGAGGATACCGTTCGATTTGTGGAAACTGCGTTTGAGTTTGCTGATCGCGGTGTAGACCCTAACATAATTGGTTGGAACCGAGTAGTGTTGTTGCATGGTCCGCCTGGTACTGGAAAAACTAGCTTGTGTCGTGCTCTTGCTCAAAAACTATCAGTGCGTCTTGCCGATCGATTTCCGAGAGCTCGCCTTGTAGAAATAAATGCACATGGCCTATTTTCCAAGTGGTTTGCAGAAAGTGGGAAGTTAGTAGCAAGATTGTTCGAGCGGCTTGATGAGATCGTCTCCGACCGGAGGCTGTTAGCCTGTGTTCTCGTTGACGAAGTGGAATCGTTGGCGCACGCGCGTCGCGCCGCCCTCTCAGGCCTTGAGCCGTCCGACTCTATCCGCGCCGTGAACGCGCTTCTCACTCAACTGGATCGGCTGCGACGGCGGCCCAACGCGCTCGTGCTGACCACTTCCAACGTGACGGGCGCTATCGACGTGGCGTTCGTGGATCGCGCCGATATTAAGCGACGCGTGGGCCCTCCGTCGGCACGAGCGGCGTACGAGATATTGCGCGGCTGCTGCACGGAGCTGATGGGGCGCGGTCTGGTGGCGCCGCGCGAGCCCGTGTTCGCGCTGCGCGTGCTGGAGGGCGCGCGCTTCGCCGACAGCGAGCCGGCGCGCGCCAGTCTGCAGCTGTGGGCGGTGGCGCGCGCGGCGGCGGACGCGGCCGTGTCGGGGCGCGCGCTGCGCCGCCTGCCGTTCCTGGCGCGGGCGCTGCACGCGCGCCGGGCGGTGCCCGACCTGCCGAGCTTCGTCAGCGCGTTGGCAGCAGCGCTGCGAGACCACTTGGCCGATGCCGCTGATTTAGATGACGCCACGCCTGTGCCTATATAACTACTTTCCTACTCTAATATTAGAAGATAAATATTAATGTAATAATTTTGTATGAAATACTACTTAGGACTACAGAAATCTGTAATTCTCTACAGATTCAGGTCTAATTGTTATTATTTCAAATAAATGTAACCTAATATTAAGTAAGTTAACGTTAGTTTTCTTAACTCATTATTATTATACTCATTATCATTATTTATTTTCAGCAGTGTGGTAAACCTTAACCTTTCAAAATGAGTCACCACAATACATCGACAATAAAATATGATTGCAATCCCGATCTCGCGAGATCGTACCCTGGCGAGATTACTTTACTAAAAGATTGTTGTTTGATAAAGACAACTGGTTACTTCTTTCATTTCTTAGCTATCTGACAGGTCGTACGTCGAAGTAGTAAACTACTTACATTACAAACTAGCGATTGCTTTCAACTGCCTCGTTGCCCGAGTGGTCGCCTGTGCTAGGTAGGGGGTCTCGGGTTCGATGCCCGGGTCGGACAAAGTATTAACTACTGGGTTTTAAAAAAATCTCAGTAGTAGCACGAAGTCTGGAATTGTGCCCGCTATATGGCAATAGGCTCATCCCCCATTACACATGGGACTCATAACATAAATAGTGGAAAGTGGGTGTTACATTGTACAGTGGCATAATGTACACCTCTGCCTACCCCTTCGAGGATAAAAGGCGTGATGTTATGCTGTTCTTAAGTGTGGGAGATAGTGTGCCAGACAGACGTTTTTAATTTACGTTTCAATGAGGTTTGTTAATTAATAACTTGCTTCTGCCAGAGGCTTCGCTCCGTCCCTTTAGCCGTTTTGATGTGGATGAGTAACAAAAATACAAACTTACAAGTTTTTCCCGTTTATATAATAGCGGTTCAAGCTAATTTCGACCATCGGCCCTACAGATACAGCGTAAGGTCCACAGCGGGCAACCTAATTGACAAACTTTATTTGCTTGTTGTGGTAGGTACAGTAACTGTGTCTAGGGATTGAGGCCCCAATTAGTTTTCAGGCGACATTATATTTATGAATGAACACGAGAGCACACAAGTACCAGACACTTTTATTGAAAGTACATTTTTTCGTGTAAGAATATATTTTTTCAAGATAAAAGTATCCAGTGAGACAGGATATTAAAGCATAATCATACTGAGTATCATTGTAATTGGACGGTACATTTTGCGTTTTGTGTGAACATACAGACACAATTTTTTTAACACATTTTGGGGTTTTGTGTCTATCTGCTACAACTACAATTTTTTTTTCATATTTTCAATGCTGCTGGCTGCCTCGTTGGTCGAATAGTCGCAAGTGCGAGTGCTGGACACGGGGTTTCGGGTTAGATTCCCGGGTCGGGCAAAGTAACTATTACTGGGTTTTTTATTTTCAAATTCACAGTAGTAGCACGGAGTTTGGAATAGTGCCCGGTATATGGCAATAGGCTCACTCCCATTACATGGGACTTATAACATAATTAGTGCAAAGTGGATGTAACATGTACAGTGGCATTAAGTGCAGAATGTGCGCCTCTGCCTACACCTTCGGGGATAAAGGGCATGATGTTATATTATATTATATTGAAAATTTAACAAAATCGTATTTTTAGCTGAGGAACAATACCTCATTGTATCATCTCATCATTGCATATTTCCTTTGAATGACCTTTGTGTAGATTTATAGAAGATTCTTTAGTTTTACACTTTGAATCTTATTTACCTAATTCACTATAACTTCCCTTATTCTACAACGTCTTTAGAAATATATAATAATGTAGATAAATAAATACTTTTAACAAAACTTTATTTCACATACTGTCAAATAAATAACCCACTTATAACTACAGTTATAAAAACTAATAATAGACATTATAACATAAAGCCATGGATTACGCCTGGGCTTGTTAGATGTATAAGACACCGGGACAAACTACATCATAGAGCAAAACGTTTTCCTGATAATTTTGATCTACAATTAACATACAAAAGATACAGGAACTTTTGCAATAATTTGCTGAAAAAGATTAAAATCGATTACGATAAAGGCGCGCTACATCGGGCGGGTAAAAATAGTAAGAGACTTTGGCAACACATAAAAAATGTAACTTATACGTCGAAACAGCGAGAATCATGTTCGAATTTACTACTAACAGAATCTTCTTCGCTTCAGTCTGCTGACAATGTAAATAACTACTTTTTGAATGTGGGTAGAAACCTCGCTCAACAGTTGCAGCTAGACTCTACAACCCGGACTAATACACCTTTACTACACTCAAATACTGAAAAATCATTTGTTTTATTAGATACAGACGAACAGGAAATTGCACGAATCATAACTGGAATGAAAGATAATTGTGCAAACTGGTTGTGATGGGATCAGCAATAGGATCTTGAAAACATATAAGCAAATTTTTGTCCCACCTCTGACTCATTTTTCGAGAGTGTCTCTCAAAGGCATTTTTCCAAATGTCTTAAAAGGGCAGTGGTTGTTCCTATATTCAAATCAGGTGACAAGGATCTAGTTAATAATTATAGGCCTATCTCACTACTGCCATCGATATCAAAAATTCTTGAGAAGATTATTAACATCAGATTGGTAAATTACCTAGAAATGAATAAATTCTTGTCACCACTGCAATTTGGTTTTAGAGCAAAATTGTCAGCAGCTGATGCAGTACATACACTCACAGATTTCATATCAGAAGAACTCGGTAAAGGCAACCACGTTCTAGGAATTTTTATTGATCTTGCCAAAGCTTTTGATACTGTGTCTATTCCACTGCTTCTAAAGAAGATGGAATGTATGGGTATCGGAGGCACTCAACTGAACCTCTTTGCTGATTATCTAGATGACCGTTACCAGTGTGTTAGAATAGATGACGTCACAAGCTCATTCCAGAAAAATACGGGTTTTGGAGTGCCTCAGGGGAGTATTCTTGGTCCTACCCTATTTTTGATCTATATCAACGATTTATGTAACATCGAGATGCATCATGGGAGACTAATATCATACGCTGACGACACGGCCCTAATTTTTTCATCCAATAACGACACTGAACTGTACTGTAATGCTCAATTGGCTTTCGATTCAGTTAATAGTTGGCTTTGCTCTAATATACTAACACTAAATGCGGAGAAGACAAAATTTATTCACTTTTCTATGCGCAAGAATCCAATTACCTCTGTTACACCCCAATTATACGCACATAAATGTAGAATTAGTCCACTGGGCACATGCAATTGCCCTTGTATATTAAAAACTACTTCCATCAGATATCTAGGCATCACAATTGATGAAACTCTTTGTTTCAAACAACACATCAGCGCTTTGGTTGCACGTGTCAGGAAATTGATGTACATTTTTAAAAAAATTAGACAAATCGGAGATGTTAAACTAATCACTCAAATCTACCTAGCGTTATGTCAGTCAATTTTCCAGTACTGTGTTACTTCTTGGGGTGGCGCATCAAAAACTATTATACTCCCTCTAGAACGTGCTCAGAGAGCCATCCTGAAAGTTGCATTTTCCCATCCCTTTCTCTTTCCTACATCCATGCTATATAGATCCTGCAAAGTTTTAACTGTTCGCCAAATCTATGTAGTACAGCTAATACTCAAACAACATTCACTACTCAGCTTCAATATTAATAACCTTACTAACAAAAGGCGGAATGATATAGTTTGCACTTCAACCTCAGTGTCAAAACACGCTTTTATAAAAAGATTCTTTATCTTTCTTGGCCCATTTTTATACAATAGAATAAATAGAGATTTAAGCATTTATAGCCTCAATCACTTTCACTGTAAAAAACTATTACATAATTATGTACACACCTTAACATACGATCAAACCGAGGAATTACTTGAAGTAAGCAAATAATTTTATTATAGTTGACTTAGATTATTTTTGCTTACGTTTGTTAATGAAACTGTACACGCGCACCTGTTATACTTAGAGACTAGCTTAATTTAATTTAGACATAAAAATTTTTAGTTTTAAAGCAATATTATTGTATTTTAAATATTTCAGTACATTTTTAACCTGAAACACAGGCTTGGACCTAGTTCAGGTTTCAAATATTTTTAGACTTTGTTTAGATATTAAGATTTATTTTGTAACCTGGCTTTTTACACGAAATAAACATTTTATTTATTATTATTATTTATTAACTAACGATACTTATTTCCAGAATTTCTATTGAAATTGTTTTGTTTCTGTAAGAGTTTTTCTCCCTTCTGACAATAACAAACAACATGAAAGGTCATTTTGTCCATTAGGGTGTAACCACAGCAATCGATCGATGCACGGGAATGGATAGGTCGACGTTAATGGAGCTGCTCGATGTCCCCATTATGACTCGCTACCCGCTCGGTTAACGTTGACCGATTGCATCGACCAGTAAATCGATCAACTGGTTGATCGACCGTTGACCACACCAATCGATCAGCGTCCACCCATGTCGTTGTAATTAAAAATATTTGATAGAGATTATAGCAGGGTTACTGTCAAAAACATAGGTCTTATATTTCGTTAAGTCGGGTTAGATAGGAGGTCGGGTCGGCGCGGGGTCGTCACCGGCCGATGATCCACAGCATGTTGAGGCCGGCGCGGCCCAGATGCAGACGGCGCAGCGCGGGCGGGTCGGCGCGCGCGGCGGCCGCCAGGAACAGCAGCAGCGTGTGCAGCAGGTTGTTGCGGCCGCGCGCCGGCTCCACCGTCTCGTCGCCCAGCACCAGCGCGAACTGCGGCGGCCGCAGCGCCACGCGCCGCACGGCCAGCGCGCCCGGCCCGCGCGGCGCCGGCGCGGGCGCCGCCGACACGTGCGCGGCGCTGAAGGGCCGCGCGCAGCCCGCGGCGGGCAGCGCGGCGTCCAGGTACGTGGCCAGCAGGTGCATGACCAGCTCGGCGTCCGTGGGCTTGGCGTCGTCCCAGTCGGAGCCGCCTCCGTTCCAGCGGTACGCGCTCAGGCAGCCGCCGCGCGCCAGCTCTGTACAATATGTGTATGTGTGTATTAGTGCCTGCGAGTCAAGTGGAATCTTCCAACCTTTAAAGCAGGTGTCTTCACCCTTTGTGAATTTATAAGGATCTTATTTCAGACATGATTGAAGAGCCTCCACGCCGAGAAGTTGGTAGATTATCGCCAGGACATAAATAGAAACACTTGATCAGATTTAATAAAATCACGTGCCGGGAGTTTCAACCAAAACCATTACCTACATACCATTATGTACCTAAATATTTTTTTTTAAATTTGACCCAGTAAACAAACCACCGAGTCAAGCTAAATAAAACCGTTCAAAAAGAGTTCTCAGTCCACATGCTTGGCCGCGATTTTCTCGCGATTGGCTGAACCAATTTTAATCCAATTCCGCACAATTTCATCCGCTGCTCAGCTCCTTTTGGTCGTAATAAAATGAAAGAAATGCGTCGCTCGGTTTTTGTACAGTTTCTGACAAACAATTCGGTTTAATGAAATGCGGTACAAACCTCTGATGCGCTGCACGACATAGCGCTGGTCCGCGAAGGGCTCGAGGTACGCCAGCAGCGCCGGCAGCGTCTGCAGCGCAGACTGCGGCGCCGCCGCCGCCGCCGCGCGCAGGCGCTCCACGCTGGCCGCGCCCACGCGCGCCTCCAGCCCGGCCGCCGCCAGCGCCTCGTCCGCCGCCTCCATCTCGCGCACCAGCCGCTGCAGGATGGTGCAGTGCAGCCACAGGCGCAGGTTGAGGTTCCACTGCTCCAGGCGCTGCGGGTCCAGGTGCAGGCGCCGCCACACGTGCGGCGAGTGCGCGGCCGGCGCGTCGTCCGCGCCCGCCGCCGCCGCCGGCGCCGACAGCTGGTAGTGCCCGGCGCCGCAGCCCGCGCCCGTCGCCCAGCTCGCCGCCGCCGGCTCCGGTCGCAGCCGCTCCGAGTAGCCCCTGCGCGCCGACACCGTCGTGCTCGATCAATCGGTCGTACACGGCGGCGACCGACCGACCGACCGCTACGACTCTTAACTCACCTTAAATATGCAGCCAGACTGTGCGAGTCCGCGATGAACCGGTCGGGAGAGGAGCGGTCGACGCGCGGCGAGGCGGGCGAGGGCGGCGACGGCGGCGGGGACGCGTCGGCGCGCCACACGCGGCGCGGCGACAGCGACACGTCGGCGTCCACGCAGTCGGCGGGCGCGGGGCGCGGGGGCGCGCGGCGCGGCGCGGCGGGGGGCGGGGGCGCGGGCCGCGCGCGCGCCAGGCGCAGGCCGTGCAGGCAGGCGTTGGCCGCCAGCACGGCCGCGCAGCACAGCTCCACGTAGTGCAGCGACGACGTGTACCCGGGACACTTGTAGCACCTGCAATGATTAATAATATTAGTATTCAGCCTCTGCATATCTTAATGTTATATCAAGATAACAAAAAAAAAGTTAATGATTCATTGGCATGAAAGTCACTTGCCAAAAATATGTCAGAAAACATAGAAAGGTATACAGAATATTAAATATTTGTGTTTGTCTGTTATTCTGTTTGTTTTGTTAGTAATTGACGTGTTTATTGAGTGGAGATAGTTGAAAGGATTGAAAGTAGCATTTTGTTTCTTTCTAACCCATCACTTCCCCAAATTGCTTACCAGCAGGCGAGATAGTGGTCATACATCAGCACATCAAAATTAAGAATTTTATTTTTTTTTATTAAGTAGGGAAAATCATCGACTGACTGCTCCCGCCTGGGTGAGGCGGAAGGGAATGTCAGACTCTTACTGACTAAAAACCACCCCGTTCCTTCTCCTGCACATTGAGCCGGAGCCCCGGTTACCCGTTAGGTTCTCCGCAACATCAAAAATAAGAATAGAAAGAGTTAAAAGAATAAGGTGTTTTTTGGTAGCTTTACTACATCAGGTTACATTACCGAAATTTTCACACAGTTTTCAAATTCAAAGTCTGGTCTGGTAGTTTCAGGAGCCTATTCAATATATATATATCCAACAAACAAACAATCAAACAAACAAAAAATTAAATCTTTCCTCTTTATACTATTAGTGAATAGATCAGTATTTGCAAATAGCTTCGCTCGCGTTACTGTGGGATAAAAAGTAGCTTTTGTGTTATTCCAGCGACCATAATCTAGCCCTGGTTCAAATTTGATCACTTCAGCCATCTTGATAATTATAAGGAGTAACAACCAGGCGTATTAACTTTTGCATTAATAATATTAGCAAGATAGTTTAGTTATCAAGGAAGGAGAGTCCCTGGTTCATTATATGACAAGTAGAGACTTTTGTACTGAGCACACTAACACTACTTACAAGTCATATGCAAACACCAACAGTAATGCTATGTTCACCAGAATCCATTTCAGAGACGTTGATCTCTTCCTGTTGGCATAGTTCAGGTCAATGGTGTGTTGCACCAGCCTGGACGGGGGACTCATACACCTGCAACATTCACACGATGTCAACTCCACATCACCAGCCCCGCACTGCTCCAGCTCATGTTCTACACTTCACTATTTTGAATGCTTGCTTTGCTTGGTTATGTATGCTAAAGAAGGGTGTAACCAGCTTAGTCAGTCGACTATGATACATAAACAAGTAGCTAGACTCGTCAGAAGACGCATTCGTTTAGCTGATGTTGGAGTGCCCATGATTACAGAGATATTGCACTTACAAGCTTTTACATGGTGAGAACTCGTTAAGTCTGATCAATAATTGCCAAAAATAATTAATTAGATCTCATTTGATTTAATACATATCTATGTACATACAAACAAAGCTTTGTACTAAATAAGAATTTTAAAACGGACTTGTTTTTATTGAGGAAGATACAGAGTTCTCAGTAAGGCCAGTGCCATTTTAGTTATTTGTGTTCATTAAAGTGTGATATTTGTTTCTAACATTAGTAGATGTTTTGTTAGTAAAGATCTGAATGTGAATGCTGACAACGACGATAAAATAAAAATTTCAACGTTTTCGACAAAAGGCGTCAATGTAGAACTAAGCAAAACAACTTTAATACTTATTTACTGAAAAACGTACTTACATAATGTTTCTCCTTCTCTGTGGTTAATGGTCTTAAATAATATCAAACCATGTCCCTTAATTCAATAAATAATATCAATGAATAACAACAACATAACCTACAAAGTACAAAATAGTCGTTAAAAATAGACATCTAAGACCTATGTCAAAATTATTGTCAAGTGTCAAGTCTAGAGGTGACCCACATTGTAAAATATTAACAATAATACCATAGATAGAGAGAGAGAAAGATCGAAACTTGATTAGAGACCACACAGAGTCGGACACAATAATTATGTAAAAATCGATTCATAACATACGATTTATTATGAATCTGCCACAAAACTTTAGAATAAAATACGACTATTGCTGTCCGTTTTATAAAATGTTTTTAAAAAGCCTAGTAATAGGATGCCAACCTTAGCTTCCCTATTTTCACGGCGGTTGACTTGAGCAACTCGTTATGTTCAGTCATGATTAAAAGTAAGTCGTCTCCTATAACGGTTATCTTTTTAATCAATGCGGGGCCCAACGAAACCGTAGCCCGTCCACTGTCAGGAAGTCTATGCTATGGTGTTCGGGCTCTTTAATCAGCTGTAAGAGACGCTCAATAGCCGTCGTCACCTGGGTCTTGATTTCAGACTTGAAATTTGTTGCTATAACCAATTAACATTTGGCCTGTTTCAGCCAGTCTGGCGCCTCCACCACGATTGGCGAGGGTGCGAGCTCAGGGGAATGCTCTGTTGTAAGGGTAGTCCCCGCGGTTGGACCTCGTCTCGCTCTTGCCTCCGCCTCCTTGATCAGTACGTAGTCTCTCGACTACTAGATTTATGACGTCCTCCTTCTTGATTTCCCTCCTGACTTTCATGGACAGTCCCATTTGTTGCTCGATCCTGGTAAGACAACGCCTAGCTTCTGCTAATCTAGGGTTTCAGAAGTTCGAAACTTAAACTGCAGGAGGACAGGGGCTCTCTTGGTCAAGGTAGGCGATGCAGTTTTGGGTGGGGTGATGGTCTTACGGTCCATGGCCGTAGACTAGACACCGGCTACAGTGCACCAGCGGAGATTGGTCTAACACCTTAACGTGCTGCAGGTCAATAAATAACCTGCGGGCCGGCGTCAGCCGTTACCACATCCTAGGTGATACCTGGAAGATGACGTAGGTCTCTTGTGGGTTCCTCGCCCTCCTCCGGTACTTGACGACTACTGCCGACTCTTCGGCCGACAGGCCCTCTAGCAGGCGCGCGTTCTGCGTCTTAAGAGCGGCCTTTATGTCCTCGTCGCTGTTATAGGCCAGAAGGTCCCGGACAATTACGAGTGGATTCCGCTGACGCGAGTTTTCCACCCGCAACTGCCCGTTGGTCCATCCTTTCCAGAGGGGATACAGATGTCAAAAATAATATTTTCCCTGTAAAGAGGGGACTGTCTGTGATAAAATTAATGTCAACAAATGATTGGCCCTGTAAAGGGGGGATCAAGATTATAATGTAGTCAAATTTTAAATAAATTATAAATAAATTGTCAAATAAATAAATTAGTAATAAAGGTAAATAATAATTGGTTAAATAAAATAATTATAATCGGATTGAGTAAATAAGTAAAAAGCAGAATTAGATTAGGAACTCCGTCCAAACCAAGTACCGGACAAAGCCGACACAATGAATAATTTGATCCTCTCGATATCGTCCGTCGATAGAAGTAATAAAAATTTTTTCGATCGAGAAGAGCCTTACTTGTCCCTATCCCTATAAGGGCGGGAGGGCAGGCAAAATTTGAAAATTTATGTTATCCGATCGGGACGTGCGATACGTCGGGAGAAGCGTCTCGGCGCGGGCCGTTCAACAGAGTGAAAATCCCGGATCGGTTTCCTGAAATAATTTAAAGTTTTGAATGAAAAACGAGTTTTTTCACCAAATTTTTGTCAATTGCGAGGATTTTTCGCGAAACGTCTGGAGTTATTGAGTCAAAAACCTATCCAAATCGTAGATTATAAGTTGCTGAAGCTGTATTAAAAATTTTGTCGCCCTAGGTCAAATATGAAAAAAGTAAAAAATTTTCGAATGAAATATTTTGGTCCAAAGTAACTTTAGGGGTGGAAATTAGTTCGGGGGTTTAGCCCTCGACTGTGAAAAGTACCGAAATGGTTATTGGGAGCTTAGAGGAGATGGTAAAAACTGAAAACTGCTCCGAAATCGGTTGTTTGGTTTCCAAAATATTTCGAATGTATGGAGAATTTGTTCGGTATTTTTTTTTTTTTTTTTTTTTATTTTATTTTTTTTTTTTTTAAGGGGGGAAAATCATCGAATGACTGCTCCCGCCTGGGTGAGGCGGAAGGGAGTGTCAGACTCTTACTGACTAAAAACCACCCCGTTCCTTCTCCTGCACGTCGAGCCGGAGCCCCGGTTACCCGTTAGGTTCTCCGCGACTCCGAATCGGCATCGGCCCTATTGGGCCCCATCTGTGGTGGTCTGATGGCTCTTTGAGGCGCGCGCGGAACGCGACGCGCCGTACGCTCGGGTCTGTTTCTGGTCGGACGGGGAGCCACCCATGCTCGCCGTCCGCAGGCCCGCGCTTACGGTGGCCGGAGATCGTCTCGCGATCCCCGACGCCCGGTGTGTCCTTCGCGATGGCTGGGTTGCGAGGAGGCAGCGCTTCGCTGCCTCACGCGTCCCGCCTCCTCCTTAGCTAGCATGACTGCTTCGCAAAAGGAGGAGACGGCATCCCAATCCCCCTCGCTCCGCATCATGGCCTGCACTAGGCCCGGATGCGAGAGGTCGCCATCGCCGATCACTTCCCTGAGGGCACGGCGGTGCTCAGCCCACGCAGGGCATTCTCCCACTGTGTGTTCCACCGTGTCCTCAGGGCGGTCCTCGCAGTGATGACACCCGGGCGTTTCCTCCCGCCCCATCAGACACAGGTACCTCCCGAAACTTCCATGTCCGGTGAGGACCTGCGTCAGGCGGTAGGTGAGGACGCCGTAGCGTCTCTCAAGCCACTCCTCAAAGAGGGGACTTACCGCTGCAATGGCAGCGAGCCCAGCCCCCGGTTGCGACAGTCGTTGCTGCCATTCCGCCATGAGATCGCGCCGGAGCTCATCCCGCCACGCACTTATTTGGCGCGGCAGCGGAGTTTCGCCCCGGCGACGTGCCTCCGCGCGCATGTTATACACGCGCGCGAGCACCTTCGCCTCCAGATCCCACGGCGGTAATCCGGCAAGGAGGTTCGCCGACTCCCCAGAGATCGTGCGGTATCCGCGGATCATTCGGATCGCCATGACCCTCTGTGACATGAGCAGCGTCCGAGCAGGACGCCGCAACAAGTTCGGCGCCCAAACAGGGGCGCCGTAGAGGGCCATGGACCGCATGACCCCGGCGTATAACCTCCGGCAGGAGGCGTTTGGCCCCCCAAGGTTGGGGAGGATGCGCTTAAACGCAGCCCCCGCCCTCGCCAACTTTGGAGCCAAACGTCGGAAGTGCTCCACGAAGTTCCACCGACTGTCGAGGACGAGTCCCAGGTACTTCATCGTCGTCTCGACGCCGATGGTAACCCCTCCCGCCATTATTTGGGACCCACCCGGAGGTGGCGCGTTCCCGCGGCCATGAAAACACATGGCCTCGGACTTGTGGAGCGCCACCTCGAGTCCCAACTGCCGGATTTTTTCAACGACTGTCGCAACCGCTGTCGCCATTAAATCGGCCGCCGCCTGGTGCGACCTCCCGTGCGCTAGCACCAGCGTGTCGTCGGCGTAGCATATTGTGCTAACGCCGTTCGGGAGGTCGGTGCGCAGCACCCAGTCATAGCCGATGTTCCACAGGAGCGGCCCCAGAACCGAACCCTGTGGAACACCGCGTGACATCTCTCGCCGGTTCCACTCGCCCCGGTGACCGGGGTAGCTGACGGACCTGTCCGTCAGGTAAGCCTCGATCACACGACGGAGGTAGGTAGGCACCCCATGATATCGGAGTGCCTCCAAGATGCAGCTCCAGGGCAGGGAGTTGAAGGCGTTGGCGATGTCTAAAGACACCGCCACCACGACTCTACCCCCGGACACTGCAGTCCCCGTCGTGAGGTCCCTAACGCGCATGATGGCGTCCACCGTGGAGCGCCCTCTGCGGAAGCCGAATTGGCCGTCCGACAGGTCCGGCCCAATGTTCGTCAGGTGCGCGACGAGGCGGTTCGAAATGATTCTTTCGAAGACTTTCCCCACCTCGTCGAGCAGCACTATGGGCCGGTATGCGGACGGAGAGTCCGCAGGGCGCCCCGTCTTCCGCACGAGGACCAGTTTGCCCGCTTTCCAGAGAAGCGGGAACTGGCCTCTCTCCAAGCATGCGCTGTAGAGACCGATTAATCGAGGCCCGAGAGCCTCTGAGGCCAGGACCCATGCTTTGCCATGCAAGCCGTCGGGTCCTGGGGCGGTGTT